GGGCCCCAGCCCCTCTCCCCGCCCCCCACCCCAATCAGAGCCTACACTTCCAAGTGACACGTGTGCTCATTTAAGCTGCACAAGCACACAGTGCGTGTGCTTGGAATCATTTAGACCCAAGGGTGCTGAGGCACATGTGCTGTGAGCTTGTCGTCTCTTCTCTTTTTAAATTTAGGATTCTCATAAAGCGAGTCCCTCTGCACTTCTGGTCTGGCACAGCCCAGAGGGTCAGCCTGTGCCAGGAAAATCAACTCAGGGCCTGCGAGGCCACCAGGGGCCTCTTTCCCCATGACCCCAGCGGGTGACGCTCCCTGGGGCTCATGGGCTGCCAGGGGAGGTATGTGGATGGCATGCCTTAATATAGTTAGTCAATAGCTATGTTTTCTAAGTGCCACAGAGGACTGAAGGAATGTCGCTACATGTCTGGAATGGAGCGAACTGATGGCTTTGGGAAGGACGTTTCCCAGGCTTCGGAAGGAGAACGGATAGAGGAGGGGGCTGACGTGGAGACAGATCCCCACGCACAGGCCTGCTCAGTGCTTCGTCACTGCTTCTGCTGGGAATGAATGCAATGGTGTGAGCAGAGCGCCAGCACTGCTCACCGAGGCTCTGGTCGGGTTGTCCTGGGAGCTTGGTCTTGCTCAGGCCACAAGCAGAACTGGCTGCTGCTGACTTCTGCCCTCTGCCTTGGTTTACTGGCCTGTGCAAAGGGCACGTTGCTGCAGCTAGCTGCATTTCGAAACTCGATTGCACTGCCTCTTCTGAGCATTTCCTTCCTTCTTTCCTCTGGAGGTCTCAAGAAGAGCGTTCCTGTCCTCAACCCTTCGTTGTCTCTTCCCACGGAAACGGAATGGTGGGAAGGCCCAGCCTGAGGGGCCGGGCCGCACTTGGCCATCACCATGTGACCTCCAGCCGGGCCTTTCACCCACTGGTGTCCTCAGCTGGTAAAATGGGGAGCACACACCCTTCTTTGCAGGATGGCTGCAGAAATCCTGATAGCAGTGGGTTAAGGAGTTTGTTGAAAACCAGGTTCAGGGGCTTAGTCACTGTGTATATGCTAATGAACATTTCTTGAATTGAATCATCTCCCTCCCACTAAATCTAGCCCTGGCCTGTGTGGCTCAGTTGGTTGGGCATTGTTCTGTGCACCAAAAGGTTGCTGGTTCAATTCCTGGTCAGGGCAGATACCTAGGTTGCAGGTTCGATCCCCGGTAGGGGCTTGAAGGAGACAGCCAATCTATGTTGCTCTCACATTGATGTTTCTCTCTCTCTCCCTCTCCTTTCCTCTCTCTCTAAAAATCAATTTTTAAAAAAATCTTTAAAATAAAATCTCTTCTATCCCACTTCTTCTAGGGATAACAGCTACTTTAGATGGTCTGATCAGTTTCACAACCTCCAAGGAAATCATGAATTCAGGCAAGATTATCAATTGGTGTTAAAACCAAAGGAGGTCTAAGCTTATTCATCTAATGGACTAAGACAATAATGGGGAGAAACCTAGATACACACAACAGACAATATGTTTGCATCTTGAAACCAGACAACCAATGGGCCTGGGCTGCCTGTCATTTCTTGAGCCAAGTAAGCAGAGAAGTTGAATCATATAAGAGCATTTATTCCAATACCGCTGGCAGCATGGTAGGGCAGGTCAACCAAGAAAATCTGCTCTGCACCCCTCCCATAAGCCAGCTGCTTATACTGGATAGAAGGACAAAGATTATATGGGGAAGTAGGTAAAAGGAATAAGAGTGGGTAAATGGTTACACATTATAGGCAATGCAGGCGGGGGCGGTGTGGGGGTGGGGGGCGGAAAGGGGCCGGTTGCAAAGGGTAGACTCCAGTCTTTCCATGCTGATAGGCAGTTCTTGGATTAGGAGAATGGACGGAATTCCAAGGTTAACTCCCAGGTCCTGAGGCATTCAATTCCCAGCCAGATCAGAATATGCTTCCTTTAATCAGGACAAAACAATCGTGGGTTAACAGAGCATGATTAATATTTCTTATAACTATAGCTAGTCTCTACTATTCTATTTCTGCCCCTAACAATCTCACTGATAATACTGAGTCAAAGAGTTCTCTTCTTTTTTTTTTAAAATCCTCACCTGAGGATATTTCCCCTTTGATTTTTAGAGACAGTGGAAGAGAGAGGGAAAGACAGAGAGAAATATTGATGTAAGAGAAACACATTGATTGGTTGCCTCCTGCACGTGCCCTGACCAGGGCCCGGGCAGGGGAGAAGCCTACAACTGAGGTATGTGTCCTTGACCAGAATTGAATCTGGGACCCTTGGGTCCGCAGGCTGATACTCTATCCACTGAGCCAAACCAGCCAGGGCCAAAGAGTTCTTCTTATAAAATTCCAGCTCTATGAAGTATAGAAACAGGCAAAACTCACCTGTGTGATAAAAGTGAGAATAGAGGTTTCCTTTGTGTGGGGGCTACTATATGGGTGGGGGGGCCAGCCGGGGAGCTAGGGAGCTAGGAACATTCTCTGTCTGGATTCAGGTGGTGGTCATGTGGGTGGGTACATAGGTAAAAATCTTAGCACAACCAGACCTGATGTATTTTCCGGGACACATATCATTATCTATAACATCCTTCAGCCCAAAACTTTGAAGTTGAATCTAATCAAGACTTTAGATCTAACTTCCAGTTTCCAAGAAATGCAGAGAAAGAGGAACAAGCTTAATGGCACCGTGAGGAAGCACCCGGAGCAACCCAGAAGGCCAGCCCTCCTGTAGGACAATCCCCTGAGTCTCTCTCACAGGAGAAACCGGTCCGAAGGGCCCCGGAGGCACAGCCGGGGACAGTGCAAGGTCTCAGGGTGGACCCTGGTTGGGACAAACTACTTGTAAAGTTTTAGAGGCAATTTGGGTACTTAAATACGGAGGTTTAGATGACAGTATGGAGCTGTTTTTAATGTTTTACAATATGATAATGCTAATTTGGTTTTGTTGGAAAATGCTATATTTTAAAAGGATGAATTTGAAAAAAAATTCAAATTCATGTTCAGCTTGGTGAAGGACTGGTTAAACAGAGGACACAACTGGAAGCAAGATCTCAAGAGAATGAGAAAAATGCTTTCAAGAAATGAGTTTGCAGCTTCTTGTACGCATTTGGAATTAAGGGGAGAGGTAAGGCAGATTGCGTGAAGGTGGGAGGAAGCAAGGCCGGGGTGGGGTCATAGGGTGGTTAAGATTCAGTGCTCCCTCGAAGGGGGTCAGGCTTTAGAAGGAGGGGCCTGAAAAGAGTAATTTCAAAGGTGTGTTCACCTAGATGCACAGAAACAATGACAAGGCTTCCTTAAGGCAGAGCTTAACCTGTCACTGCAGTTACACACCTGGGCTATGACTACCTACCATGACCGGCCCAGGTAGGGATTTCTGATCAGATCAACTTTGAGATTACTTTCCATAAAACCCCCCTTTTCATCCACGGCTCCATGGGAATGTAAGTTCCAGGAGGACCGAGGTTTTGCAGTTTTCATCATTGCTGTATCCCAGTGTCTGGCGCATAGTAGGTGCTGCATACATATTTAGTGAATGAATGCACAGATATTATTTTAAAGGTGGGTCCATTGTATGGCTGATGTAATAGTAACAGCACAGCAGTGACTACCACTCATAAGGCATGTCTGATACAGCCCTTTATGAATTGAGTTCAATCACAAATGTATAGTCCTTTACAAGTTCAAAGTCCTTGATGAATTCACACTCATTTCAACTTCTCAACAATTTTACGAACTAGGCTTGAGAGTCACTTCCATTTAATAGATTACAAAACCAAGGTTCAGACATTTTATTACCTCTCCCACAGTCAACTCAGATAATGGGTCATACCCATCTGGCTACATCTTGAACCAGCCCATTTAACTGCTTGTGCCAAACCGGTGCAGAACGGGGATATCACGATTTACTTCAGTTTTCTCCTACTAATAGACACCATCTTGTGGGGCGCAGATGGGGCAAGTAAGGTCCA